GGCAGAGTGTTCTAGTTTCTTCTTCTCGCAAAGCTTTGATGGTGCACTACATCAAGCGTCTGAGCTTTATCGATGAAATAAATGCAGCGCTGATGAAGGAATCAAATCCTTTATCGCTCCGAAGTTGTTCGCTCATCGGGATTAATTATCGGCAGAGTCGCTTCCCGGCACAGCGGGAAGCGGCTGAGAACCGGGGCATGGCGCCAGGTGAACGAAAACAAACACACAAGTCTGCCTGGAACGATCGAGTGTTGCCAAACTGGAGCAGCATGATCTTTTTCCGCCGCTGTCGATGAACTCGAATCCCCGTGTCTCCAGCAGCTCAGATCCTCTCACGCTGAAGGTTCTCGTAGCGACCCATAAAGGGCACGACGAGGACACGGGGGATGGAGACAAGGACCATAATAAAGACAAGCTATCAAAGTCCTTTGACCAAATGGCTTCCTGCTCGGGACTAATTGAAAAGCAAGTTGAGACATCGTCGAGATGACCGGCCCAAAGTGCCGTCCTTCGCTGGAGCGCTGCCAGTCAAGCATTCAGGAGAACGCGCAGAACGAGTACAGGGATGAGCGAGAGCAGGTAAGCGCGTGACCGGACGGCCCGGCGAACGAGACGTGTTCGAGGAAAAATGGAAAGAAATGCTAAGGGCAAGGCGAGATGCAAGCGAAGCTTTTAGCGACCCGCTTCAGAGGGAAGCTGAGACGAAGCCACTTTGGCGTCGCCGTGAGGGAGCCTCCTGTGAACCCGCCCCGTGCACGCCAACGGCATCTCCAGGGCGTTCGAGACTGTTCCAGTTTCCGCTTCGTTCACCTATTTCCGCGAGATTCCTCGCTGGTGCCCTCACGTCGATTCAAAAAATTTCATAGCTGCGAGGTTGGAACAGCAATTTCAAAAGAGGATCGGTCGCCCGCTCGGCTGCTTGCCACGTGCGGGAACCATCGAGTTCCCTTCGAATTGCTCCATGCTCTAGATTCACTCTTGAACTCCTCTTGTCTTTCCAGTGTTTTTCATTTCTCCGATATCGACTGCCAACACGGCGTTGATGCACAACATGCCGCGCACTTATCGGAGGCGGCCCTCCGAAGACACCAAGGAATAAAACCGCCAGCAAGGGATCCGGAGCATACCGAACGCTGCCGAACATGATGAACCTGAGTCAACACGTCGAATTTGTTCAATCTCCTCGAGTAAATATTTTTGCAGGGTCTCCGACAGGGAGACGTTCAAAGGCACCGACACCGACCCTTCTCGCAGCGTATCAATCGTCGCTCTAGATCACTCGTCAGAATTACGAAGCCCTCAAAACGAGATCCCATACCGATCCTCTCAGATCTCTGTGGATCCTCCACCCTCAGGCATTGAGCTCAATAATTCGATCTGCTTCGAACTCCTGTGGAATTCCGGAGATATTCTGATTCTTGCATCTCATAGAAGTGTATCTTAGGGGATATATCGATCGTGAACTGTGTGCGGAGTATACGAGATATCTGAGCCAGCAGCTGCGGTGCGAAGACATCGGAGATCGGAGCCTTGCGGCTCTCCATCACAATCTTATACATCATCCCATTGCCTTGTTTCCGAGAGCCAGGCCCCGTGGAAGTCCTCGCGCGGAGGATTGCTTTTTCTCGGCATCCAGCCTCAGGGAAGTATTCCATACCTCCGATTGAGGCTCAGAGGGCTTTGTCGCAGATTGTAAAGCTGAGCGCGGGATTCGGGAAACAATCTGCCCGCGGCTGTATAGGAGCAAGCTGTATCGACTCTTCATTCCTCCCGGCACACCCCACCGGACTCATCGTGGATTAGAGAGGATTTGCTCGTCACGATCCGCGAGACGGCAAGATGGAACTAAGAACAGACAACTCTCCGAAAGGGATCCGCTATATTTTCTGAGGGCAGAATGGGCCTCAGGGGACGCATCCTAATGATGGCACTGTTTACCGATAACCTGAGCGTACTTGACAGTCTGTGCCGTATCGTTGTCTTTCCTTTAATGACTGCCCGTCAGTCCTAAGCCCTGAGGACCAGCGCGAACAATATCCGCAAGCACGGGTGGCCGGCAACCTCGAGGAAGAACGGATCGAGGTCGGAGCGGAAGCTGCTCGAGGTCGAGACGAGGAGTCGGGCTGATAAGTTCAGCCTGTCCTCGCAAGTCACTCGTGATTCGTGATCCGAGCAGCGATTCGCCGGAAGATGTCGAGTAGCAACATCGCCATGGCCGCATGCTCAGCAGTGTGTGGCGCCTGGCTTGAATGCGGAGTCTTCGCTCCCCTGGTCCAACAAGTTGCTCTAAAGGATCGCTAATTGATAGCTCGAGGGTTCTCGACTGGTAAACATCAGCGCCTCTATTCTCTCACATCGGGAGGTCACCTAGCCTGGAGACGAGCCGAGAAATCATCCTGAGGAGCTGTTAAACTTCTCCACCACAGGCTTCGTCAGTCCTTCTGGAAACAATCTCGACGAATTGCTTCGGGGCATGCCGCGCAGTCAGAGCATCGGGAATCGGAGATTAAATTCCAACCTGGAGGAGGACAAGGGGGAGCGGGACCAGGCACCGAGCTATTTGGAAAATAAACAACGGATTCTTGTTAAGCAACAAGCGCTCCCGCTCCGAAAAGTCTTTCTCGATAGCGGCTTTTGCTCCGCCTCAAGCAGGATCCGTATTTTCGGGCTGCTCTTCGGGAGTCAGTGCGGTTGGTGAGACTGAAATGATGTTTTTTCTCCGCCCGAACAGCCTCCGCGGGAAGCCAGCATCCCGGTGGCATTCTCCCTATGTACACATTTTTATCTCCGGGGCCGGATCAGTGCAAAGGGTTGGGGAATCTGCTAAGGGCGTATCTGTGTTCCACCAAGCTAATGAACCGGACGTCCCGGGAACTAATCAAGTTTCTGTTATTTGCGACTCCAATTTCCAAGGCATGGATTTCTATGTTGGGTTAGCCATGGGACATTGCGACATCGGCAACCGTGGGCTTGAGGAGGAGCATCACAAGGGGCGGAAGTTTCGCTGGAGCGATAAAAAAAAGTAACTTCGTTCGAAGGATCGCACCGATTTCATCTGTGAAAAGTACAGCTTCCTCCTTACCCGGATGATTTTTCTCTTCTTGACGATACCACAGACCAGCTTCTGTTGCTGCTGTTTCTCCCGCCGTCCCACATTTCTGTTTTCTTCTCTTGTCGTGCCCGAGTCTCCCGTTCAAGCGCTGACTTGTGTTATTATTTGCTCAAGAAGGACATCGGACCCGTTCAACGGAAAGTCAACTCGCCAAATCAGCAGGGTTCGGAAGGCCGCCGAAGAACCCGGTGAGATGGATCAGAGCGCTGTCTACCTCGCGCTCCCCTCTTGACCGCTCCAATGGAATCCACTACAAACATCGTCTCTCCCAACTAGAGTGTTCTCGATGTTTGCCGTCGAGAATTGAACGAAAGCCAGTCGGCGAAAATAGAGTTAAGAGACTCTTCACAATGGATTGTACACTTGTTGCTCACACTTGTCAGAGGCTTTCCCGGCGGCCAAATGACAAGCAATTGAGCCCGGTACCAAATTAAATTAACAACACAATCGAGAAGATAGGGAAACGATTCTCAGACCCAGGGGAACGATCGAGGTGTGCAGCGAACGTATGACGAATGGAGATGAATGGATTGAGACTTGGACCGCGACGACGGCATTAATCAAAGTAGTAATTATTGCGGCCACCGATGGATCTGACCCGGTGACAGATACAGTAGTTCGGATGGCCCACCGCAAGGCTCAATCACGCTCAGCTGATTCGACACCTTCCCAAGCATCGAAACATTTTCCTGATTCCTTGGGCAAGCTGACAAATACGCTGCGCCGCTTTGATGAACTTCAGATGTTCGCGGCTCGATCAGCGGAGCGGTCGGCGAGTCCTTAGGACCGTTCACGTCCTCCATTCTGAGCCGCGATCGATTTGCTCGAGAATGTTGTCAGACGACAGGAAAGCCATCGCAGCAGAGCCAAACCATTGACGGCATCCGAGGACTGCATCGTGTAGAAGATGGAGCTCACGGACGCAGGCCAGCAGGAACTGTCCGCTCGCCCCGTAAAAGTCCGATCCATCGACATGGAACGATATTCCCTTCACAATGCGGATTCTATTTTCTCGCCGATTTATATTGACTTCCCGTACGCGCTCGACCGTGCGTCTTCTTACGACTCGGACATTATCACCCTACAACGACGTACTTTGGAAGCAGTTGAGCAGCATTTTTAGGAATCATTGATGACAGACAGACCAGCCTCCTGCCCCTCGGCGACTTCGGAAGCATCCAAGGGACTAGATATATTGTTCAAACAATTTTTCCCTCGGCAAACTATCCTCCCTCTTCGTCAGTGGCGGCCGTTCGGGAAGCCCGTTGTCGGGTGATTCGAAGAAATAGTGGGTCGAGTCCGCCGGGCAATTTAGACCAGATGTATCATACCTCGCTTCCGAAAATAGAAAGTAATGACGATAGAATCGGAAATCGAGGAGATTCGCGGATCAGGAAAGATTGTCCAAAACAAACGATTCCTTCGTCATTCGATTCTTGTCGACAGAAGAGCGAAATGCTGAACCGTCGGAGTTCGCGATCGCGGTACCGCACCGCGGCTCCTTTCGCAGATAGGTTTCACCGAGAGGCCCGGAGGTTCGCGATAGGATGCTCAGAAACGAATCGTTCCGATTGCAGGAGCTCCGGGAGAATCGAAAGAATTTCGATGAGTACTCTCATGATCGCGGCTAGTACGCCTCTAGACTTACGAATCACCCAAGGAGCGCTTCGGATAGAACTTCGTCGCTCGCGGGTCGAGTCTACACGGAATCGTGTTTTCTAGTTTGCACGGCGCAATCGGAAACCTCTCTGAATGAGATGTTCAAAGCCTCCGCAGGCTTTCGTCGAGCTGAAAGAACGTCATTCAAGGACTGACGAGCGCTAAAAGCTCCAGTTCTCTAGGCTCTAGGGGACCGTCTCCCAAGCTGCCGTAATCTTCCATCACTCACCTTTCCTAGAAGCTTGAAAAGAGTCCGATCTTTCTATGTGTTCTACTCTAGTCAGTAAACGATCTGAGGTCGGGGTATAGCGTTCTCCTGGCTCAGCCAATCCATGGGTATTGATTCTTTCAACGGCGCTGTTGAACGCCATTTCTACGATATCTTCACCCGCCTCGAGAAGTCCGCCTGGAAAACAAGAGTAGACGCGTCATGTAAGAGGAAATCAACCAGAGACCAGCAGAGCCTCGAGAAGGCGGGAGAATATTTTCGCTACCTCACTCCAGTGCCCTTGTATGTCTCGGGCTCGGAAACTTCCCTTACTGCTCCGGATGGAAGAAAGATCTGCTCGGAATACATACTGCCTAACGCCTCGGGAAGAAAAACTCCCTGACGTCGGATAATTAATCGTTTGCGAGTTCGTCGTTTCCAGGCGACTTTCCGTCGGTGTCGGAGGGTCGCATAAATTTCGATGGAGCTGCTCGCGAAACCATAGTTGCCCGGCACCGAATCTTGAATATGTTTCCCCCGACAGCCCGGCAAGCGAACGGCTGTTTGAGCGCTCATTTCCTTTTCGGTCGCAGCAAACCGAACTCTTATCCGTTTGTCATCATTTTGTAGATTGGATGGAGTGCGCTTTTCGCGTTGTGCGTATTGGACCCCTTCCGAGCGCTGCCGTCGCTAACGGGGGATCGAATACATATGTAGGTGATGTACTTGCTCCCGATGATTTGCTGTCGGAGCCCTCGGTCAATCATATTAATGCGTTTACCTTCTCAGCTCATCCGCTGGCTCTCGGCTCTCGGATGTTGATCGTATGGCGGCCCACGAATACGTTCGTTATCAGCACGAAAATGTATCCGCATATGAGTTGGACCTCCTTCTTCCAGGGACGTAAGCGAACCGAGAGGTGGACAAACGCATTCCTTGGGGACTGGGCATCATGGTAGTCTGGTGAATCTGGTCGCTTATCTACCCCGACATTTCCGAGGAGTTGGCGAGCCGTTGAGCGACGATTGTCGACCACGAGTAGGTAGATTAGTGCACAGGGCAGCGAGGAACATCTCGTTTTAGCACCAGTGCTCTGAATCCCACATGACTATCGAATTTCCTTGTCTCGCTCTGGCTCCACCTCCCTAGATTGACTCACAGCATTGCTTCGGGCCAGAATCGCTCTCGTCCGACCGTTGGTGGAGCAGAGCCGCCCGGGGAAGAGTTTCGCGCCGCTTGTTGGGGCCGATCGTGTTGGAGTAAATCGACGAGCCCAGGAACCCTGCCTTTCCAGAACGTGTTGAATCATGACGAGAGTTCCCCCACGGTCATAAATTCTGCACCACGTATCTACAACCCTAGTCTGACGATAACGGGTGATGATATCCCCAAGTCGTAAAGCGGGATCATAAATTTCGCTCAAGCGTTGGCACTCATAGAATAGTAAGCCGCCGTCACTCGCACCATAAACTCGAATGCGAATTCGTAGGTCAACCGAGGGCGGACAGACAGTAGCCGGTCCGCGCTCCTGGCCTTCCTGGATGTGGGAGAAGCCCTGCGGCCATTAGGACATTCTTCTAGCTAGGCTCTGTTTCCTAATCCTCTCATGCTCGTCTCCGTGCCTGGACTCACTATGCGGAATAACGAATGTTGGGCAAGGTCTCAGAGCTATTCCGTGATTGCCAACATTTTTCTCGACGTCCCTCGTATCCTGGGCGATTTTCTCGGTGCCTTCGCCGGGCCGGCCCCCGACTGTTCGCTCTCAAGCTTGTCCCCAGAAAGGCTTCGACGATGAAGCGGTGTTTCTCTCTATCGGACCATTCGGCTGGCTTGCCGTCACCTAGCTGTCGGATCTGGCGTGGGATGCGGGCGGACTTGATTCCGCTTGTAGCGCCATTCAGCCCATTGGGACGCTCGACGGCGCGGGAGTCAGAAGAAGAAACCAATCAAGCAATTGAGCGAAGCTCGTCTTCATGTTCCCATCGAGGGTCGTCGCCTAACCATAAACATGTTCCCATTTCTGCTCTTCGAACGTTCAAGAGCCAATTTACTGCGGCTGCAGCCGGCTCCGTGGGCCGTAAAAGTGAAGCCGCACTGCCTTCCGCGGACCAAGCATCTGACTGACGCAGCTTGCACGGCGTATGCGAGTATTTAGCTGCCAACAAGTAGTGTTCTCTGCTTTTTATTGAGGGAGCGAAATCTGGCCGCATTTTGTAGGCTGCAGTCTACTATAATCGCGTTCCAGTTTTCGTTGGGACCACGTCAGTGAAACGTGATCCGAGTGAAGAGTGAACCACGTCCCACGAAGGATAAGACACTGCATCTACGGGGAGTTGATTAGGATGGAATCGTGTTTATATTTCGGGGCAGATCCGAGGCGCCAATCAGCGAAGGAAATCGCGAGGCCAGACGGATTTAGGTTTGACGTTGCCGACTGGGAAACGCCCCGCCGTGAGTTCGCTCTAGCGGAAGCGGCGAACCATGTTCCCCGTTCTGATACGTTATATTTTCCCTCATTTCGCCGTGGATGATACCGGAGGAGGAACCTCGACGTCATCCGTCTCCGATTTCTCTAGGAAGCCGCTCTTCCATCTGCTATCGGTCACGACCGCTGCTCGGGCCACGCGTTCCCGCACCGCTGCTCGCAGAGACCCCCCATCCGGGCGACGGGACCGAGGTCGGAGACGAAGCCGGCCGTGTTGGGGTCACGATCAGATTTCTTTGATGAATCATCCGTGGGCTCCGGGGCTCCGATATTCAAACAGATCGGGCCCGAACGCCCTCGTGGCGCACGAGCTGAGGGTGACGAGGAGGACGCTACGGCTTGTGCGTCGCGGGAGACAGACATGCCACGATGGCGAAATTATGCGATTCCTCTTATCTGCTCATTTCGTTACAGCCCGAGGCCTACAGCAGGCCGTGCCGCGCCCCCGGCAGGCACGTCATCGAAGCGCTGCGTCTCTTTATCGTCTCCGTTACGAAGGTCAAAGTTTTCGCGGACGAAACAACACGCAGTGCTGGCCGACTAGTGGGCTCGGTTTTCCGTCGACTCCTTCTCTAGCCCGTCATCTGCATCTAATCATACAGGTCACGTTACGCTCCAGCTCACAAATTACATTTTTCCATTCTCCCACTTCTGCTCGCCCGCTTGTTTCCGGACCACGATACGCAAAAATGACCGAAGCCTGTGAAGCCACGTGGAACACCCGCCGAGAATCAACAACTTTGCACTTCCGGATCCGCTTGCCACTTTCGAGGTTGGCCCGTGGTCGGGCCCTCAGCCCGCGAGGGAAACTGTGACTGAGACTGCTGGTCTCTCAGAAGCAGCTGCATGGCCGCACAAGGTGCAGGTGGATCATTTCCTCCCTGACGCGATGGCTGTCGCGGCTGCGTTTCCGACCCCGGAGCTCCGGTGCCGTCCTCGCTACCGCTTTGTCGGTCCCTCATTTGCTTTGCCGTTGTTGTTCTAACTCGTGATGACATTGTCCGTGCATATCCATTGCCTAATGCAGAAGCACTTAGTCATTTCGGTTGGCTTAGTGGTGTACTTACGGGGGGAATGAGAGAGGAAGAGCGCGGAGGGGACCGACTGGATGCGGACCGTGGAGCCGGTGCGACGTGAGAGTCGCAGTCAGACAAGCTGACCCCAACTCGGATAGGAGCGAGCCTTCTTCTCGAGATTCTTATGGATATCTACGCGACACGTCCGCTGCCTGGCTCGGACGCGGTGAACGTGTTGACGTGTTTATATACGCTCGACGGAACTCACTTCTATCCCGTCGTTATGCGTAGGATCTTTTTCATCGCTCGCTGACTTTGTTCCGCGATCTGGTTGGGCGTGCGGGTGTAAACATGCCGGCACGCTAGCCCGTGCTCGGCCGAGGAGTTATATGGATTGAAACATGTAACGACCACCCGTCTGGTTTTCATCTGGAACAGCGGCAGCAGCACGCTGCTGTATCGACACGCTTATCGGAGCCCGGGCCGACAACTGGAGGAGATGGGCTGCTGAACATGGAGCGACCTGCGCAAGCGTACAAACGTACGAAGGCAGCTGCCGCGCCAACGAGAGCGAGGGACTTTCTCTGGAGTTTCAATAAAGATGTTCGCCGCCTTGGAGCAGCGAACCACCAGCGCCTCTAAGCGAATCCCTCGGTAAAGACGGGCTTTGTGGTCGGCATGCGGATTGCGGAAGACCACCGAGGAATCAAGGCGCGCGCGAGCGAGCGAACACATGGGATGAACCTCATGCAGAAGCAGCAGCAGCACGCTTCTCTCAGCGCGGAGGTGGCTCAAGCGGCATCCGGTCGGTCTACATCCGGCACGGAAGCAACTTTTGATAGGACGCGACGAGCTGCTACGCATTCAGGCTTTCCCCTTCTCCGCCCATGGTCTCGGCCTTTTACGCGGTGGCCGTCGTCGTTGTTGTCGTTCAGGTGCGCCGGCTTTTCATGAGTCGGAGGCGACTCCCACAGCACGCTTGACCACCTAGATCCGGGAGCTAAGCGAATGGAATCGTCAATGCGAAAGCCGGGAAGTCTCCCGACGACTATTCCCGTCGTTTTTCTCGAGGGCTCGAGCTCACAGGCCGCTTTTCCGTACCTGCCACCGACTCTTCAAGCGAGACTGCTCGCCCCGGAGCGGACGTTTTTGTGCGAGTCCCGACAAGACTTAATCACGTAACTGTGACAGATTAAAAACGTTAGCCGTTCAATCTCGTACCCCGCAACTTGGTATACCGTCGGATGATATCGAACTCGACTCTGCTGTCGATTCCCTCTGCGCCTTTCAGTTGGAGCTCGGCGCGAAGGCGGACGGAACCCCGTTATTCATCGATCATTGCGGAGTTCAATCAGCACGTGTAATGGGAATTGATGAAGCAGTGATCTATTAACATCATCGGCTTCTCGGTTTACTCGTAGCACGTTGAGACAAATCGTCCAGACGCTGAGAAAGTGGCCGGAGTCAGCAGTGGGCCGTTTGGCACAATACTAGTGACGAGAACGACATCTCCGAAATTGTCCAGGCCGGTCGCCGCAAGCGCCATTAAGCGTGGTAAGTTGTTTTTCGTCTCGGCTTGCTGAGGCTCTGTGAGTATTTCCTGGAAGCTGGACACGCCACGTCCGACCCCTTGCCCGGACCCCGGCACCAGATCCCTCGAACATATCACCGAGTCCAGCGACGCGGAGTGACAAAAC